AATACAGACTTGGCAATTTGTATCTGTGGAGGAAATGCGACTTCACTAGCACTGTGACTGTCTGGAAATATTGAGAACAAAGAGATTTGGTTTCCTTTTATTTTGTGTTTTTCTTCCTATGCAAAATTTCTCTGACGTGCTTGATAGGTAAGCTTTACAGTATGCACTAGGTAGTAGGTAGAGTTCAGTGCAATCAAAGGAACCCTTGTGTTTTGCCACGACCACAGGAGTTTCCAGCTGGTCGCAAATGTAATTTCCTACGAAAAAAAAAAGTGCACTGTTATCTTATTTGTAAGATAACAGTTGAAGGTAGTAGTAGTAGTAGTGTTGATAAGCGTTGAAGCTAAAGTGCTTTTGTTGGATAGTTCTTTTAAGAGTGCAAAGATGTCTAAAAGCCGAGGTGCTTTGGTCGGTTCATAACGAACGACCTAAAGAGTAGTGTACAGCATCAAATACATGACTAGCATCAATTAGATGACTAGTTGCATCATCGCCATCATGTTCAAGATGGTGGTTGTTGTTGGTGTGTGGTCCTTATTTTTTCCCGATGTTGTCCTTTGCGAGAAATGTCGATGGGGTTGTACCACAGCGTATGTCACTGAACTAGTATGAAACCACGTTCGGAGAGGAGCTATCTGCATTTAATGCTTCACTTCGTTCGAATTCTTTGCTGAATGCTACATTGGTGTAGAGAATATTGTCGGTATTCTCATGGACTTTCTCGCATTTTAAATTCCATCTTAATGGTCACCTCATCTACTTGACTTGCAGCTGGCTAGGAAGTGCTCTGTAACGACTTTTTATGTCAATAGTTGTATACATGCAAATAAAAATCGTTGAGAATCACTCTGCAACTTCTTGGTGTGAGTGTGTTAACATCCGCATGCGTTTAAAAACGGTTACGGAGAAAGAGCCAGGACCTTTACAGTAAGCTTTGAACACTCTCCAAAACCTAAGCAAGAATCGTCGGCCGATCGAACTTTGTGTTTTCCTGCCTGATCCTCTCCGCTTACCCCTCAAGCCTAGCACGAATTAGGTTAAACTTGACTACAGTAACCCATCGTCCTATTTGATTGGTGCACCGAGCTTATTCTTCAATCCTCCTACAATCGATGAAGATTTGCGCGTCTTGCTGTTTTTGTTGTTGCGGTGATTTAGTGCATACGTAAAGGTTTAAACACCCACGTTTGGGCTTTGTGAGTACTATTCTTTGACGTCTCGTATGAACACATGGGAGTGCAACGAACCAGTCCTCTCATGGTATGCACTTTTAGTCTTCAACATTCGTATTCAAAACCCGTCGTCGGCGACTTATCCAGCAGTAATTACTTACTTGATACTTTAATGACACGTCCTCACTGGTTGTGCAGGCCCCAGCATGACGTCCATTCTTTGGAGACGCTTGTTGAGCCATTTTGGTTTCCCGGAATCCAGAGGTCGGCCTGGCCAAAGTCTGCCACAGGTCTTCACCACGACAGGCAGTCGCAGCCTTTGTTGATCAGAGAGAGATTCGCTACCATGCAACTTTGATACCAGGATGATGATGGATCCTAGTATTGAGTTACTCTTAGTTAGGCTTCCTGATGGAAACGCCGGACTCATTCTCAGCGTGGAAGACCCTGCCAGGAGATGAATTCACCCTGTACATCGCTCTCCGATACCCCGGCCCCCCCGGAACACCTCCCAGCCACGATGAGGCGGTAAACCGTTTGGAGGTTATCCAGAAATTTACCCCAAAAGTCTGCTATAGTAGCCTAATGCTTCAATTTCTACTTCTCATCTTTTATCCACGGTTTTTCAAGTCTTCAAGGACAACACCTACTTGTTAAAACGCTTTCACTTAATCGAAGTCGCCAGAAGTCCAATTTTGTGTGTTGGGCACTGTAACTCACACGTCGTTACAACTTTTCAGCTAACTAGTCACTGTACTCTCTTTTTATCTTATCACTGAACCACTATAAATTATAGCGCACCAGTTACTAAAATGATTTGTTGCGTCGGTCGCCACCACGTTAAATATGAAAATCGATAATTAGTTCATTAACTCACAGTAAGCTTTATCTATAGAAAACACATTTGTAAACATCAACTGGCTGTCAAGTAAATAAATACTGCACTTATAGTTCATTAGCATGATTCCCGCATACTCCTTGATAAGAGTTGTACTTATGATAAAAAAGAAGGGACATCACACACACACACACACACACACACAAAAAACAGATACAACAAATTAGCAATCAAACAAGAAATTTAAGAATACACGCAAAAGCTGAGATGCCGGTAATTATGGAGGGAGTATGCGGCTAGAATAACGATAGCATAGTATCTAGCCTATCACTAAAGTCAAACCAGTAGTAACTTGCATGACTATGACAGAAAAATAGGATAAAAACGAAAACAAATCTGAGAAGATACATGGAAGTCGTCAAATATCTAACTTCCGTCGATCGATGAGTGAGGGTTGAGTGAACGTGTCATGAGGAAACTCTGAAAAAAAAAAGAAAAATTATGGAAAGAACAGAACTGAATAAGAAGGATTGTACTATTGTGATGAGAACGCATATGACGTTAAAGCAACAGGAAATAGATTTACAAATCATACTATTGTCAGGTACGGGGAAGAAAGTGAGCTGCAGTTCACGGTAGTAGAATTACTATAGAGCATTTGATTTTTGCACTATATAAGTTGGAAAGCATGAAGCCATAGCGCCTATATACTTAACACATTTGCGGCAATATGAGCTAAACACGGCTTACATGCTCTATTGCACTTTTGTATAAAGAGTAGACAGCATAAGTATGTTATTCGATTGGTTTAAAACCGCATAACGCTCCGTATGGACACTATAGTGTGCATGGCAGTTTGGACAAAACGACCGTATGGACAATTTAGTGGCCATATTAAATTTAGTGGATTCTAGAGTCTCTTACTGCACTATCTTACTGTACATCCATTCCACATCTAGTCGAAAGTACATTAAAATGGGAGGGATTAAACAGCAAAAACCATCCCCTACACAATATTTCACCAAAGAACATTTTTCGAAGAAATTTATTGGGCGCTCCTTCCAACGGTTTACCGCCTCATCGTGGCTGGGAAACGTTCCTGAGTGTCGAACTACTACATAAACACCAGAGCGATCCGTCCCCCCGGCAGGGTCTACCAAACTGAGAAAGAGTCCGGCGTTTCCATCAGGAAGCCTAGTTAAGAGTAAACCAATACCAGGATTCACCACCGTCCTGGTATCAAAGTCGCATGGTGGCAAGTCTCCCTGTGATTCACAATGGTTGCGAATGCTTGTGGTCGTGAAAACCTGGGGCAGACTTTTGGCCAGGCTGACCTCGGAATTTCAGCAAACCACAATAGCTTAACGAACAAACCACTGAAAAATGGAAATTTTGAATCTGTTTTTGGATAATTTGGATTGGAAAAAAGTGGAAATTTTAAATTTGTTTTCTGGAAATTTGAAAAATGGAGATTATGCTGGGGCTCGCACGACCAGTGAGGACGGGCCATTCAATTAATCGAGTATCAAGTATCATTGGGCGGTAATACGACAAACAATTAACTTCTATTTTGTTTCCATCGCTATGGTCGTTCCATAGAATGTGCGGATATAGAAGAATACCGAAGTAGACTCAAAATGAGTAGGAAGTATTTCCAAGTGCTGATAGTGATGTATTTGCATAATGGACCATAGTAACAAACAGTAAATAATAGCATGGGCACAGTCCATACCTATGAACGATTAAGCAAAGCCTCGCCCACGATTGTGTAATATTCAGAACCCTTAAAGCACCATAGATATTGAAAAACTATTTTTTACTGTGAAAAAATCAGAAAGTCTGTGACCGACGAAATTTACTCGTATTCGATTGGGAAACCTAAGCAGAAATACCGAGACGTCAAATTTTGATAAACGGTGAAGGGTTCATTGGTAACCCGCACTGAGAAGAAAATCGAGATTTGCACCCAAAAATCGTCTAGCTAAGAGTGAGCAGAGTCAGGATTGCTAATAATCTTAGACGACAGTCGTCGCGAAGATCCCCAAGAAGAGTCGCATACTGAGTGTGGTGGGGACTTGAGATCAACCACGGTGGCATTATCACTTCGTGAGCTTATCGCAAAAAAATTGTCTAACCAGTGATCCATCAATGAAAGGGGAAGTGCTCTCGTAGACGTATGATTCTTCATGAAAGATGGGCATTCAAATAAGGGGTGAGTTCAACTGAACTATTTTATGAACCGTCCATATTGTACGAATCAGACTCCTACTATTATATTAGTCATCCTACCTCCTCCATTTATGAAGATTCAAAAATGGGCCTACAGCTTTGGCTACAACTAGAAAATTTTTATCCTTCTTTATGAATGTCGTTGAATAATGGTAAAGATGATTCTTCCTGGAATCTTGGAATAATGTGTCAGGGAGGTCCAAAGTTTTCACGGCAGGCGTTCGTAGGTCTTTGTGGGACGGAATGGACTGTGGTTAGAAAAATGTCGCGCAACGGAAGGATACTCCGAACGAGTCAACTACGTTCCGGTTTCAGGAAAATGGTATGGGAAAAAAACTCACTCCGAGCAAATGATTTTTTTCATTAGATTTTGAAAACAGAAGGGTAGAAAGTGAGTCAAAAAGCGAGACTTAGAAAACATGCAGCGTCTTCAATGCTAAATAAGGAAATGCATGATGATTTTTTCGAAAGTTCATGCAACAAAGATATTCGTAAAAGTGTGACTATAAGTTGCACGATTAAATGTGGATAATCAGATTCTATCGTTTTTCTTTTTTATCCACTGATGTGGTGGAATGTGGTGGAATAGATTACATGATTCAGACGCATTGCTCTACTAAATGACGAATTACTCAGAACACTGGCATCAATGGATAATGTTATTGATTAACTCATCAGAGCCGTTCCCGGGTTACAAATAACTGCGAACGGAAAAGAAAAAAAGAAAAGAGGAGAGACGATGGATGAACGATGCATCACACCTACGGCTGTGGTGGTGATTGTCGTCGGCACACGGTTCGCGTAATATTGCCTTCAGCGTCAACCGTCTCGAATTGTTCCTCTACAGGCAGATTACGCACCCGTTCCTCGCTCTCCGTACCGGTAAACGTAACGTGGCTCATAACTGGGTCACGCACCTAGAACAAATAAATATTCAGCTCTGTGCGTTTGTGTAAAACCTCATCATACCTCATGTTTTTCGTTTCTCTTCGTTTAATTCATCTTTATGTTACATTTTTATTTTACTTTAGGACCAGCATAACGTGGTGGTGAACGCGCTGGCCACCAAAAAGAAAAATAGCGAGTTTGATCCCCACCGTAGCCACCTTCGGTTCGGAGTTTTGCAAATACCTCAGCATCATTGTAGTTATACTTTTATTGTTTTACTTATTGGTTCAATTCAAATTCATGTTTCTCCTTTGTGGTGTCCTTCAGCACTTCACGTTCCCTTCTCATTTTGTTTCTTTATTCGTTTTCCATCTTACTAGTATACCCATCACAGCAGTTATTATGTTTCTTTGCTATGCCGATGTCCTTGCAATGTACTACGGGTACACTAATCAGTAACATTTCAAACGTTATGTGAGTTTCTGCTAAAAAAGAGCTATTAACTGCTACATTTAAAAAAACAAAATTACCCGTGTTTCTACTCTGCGTGAGATGGTTTGCACAGTTCCGTCGGGTCCGATGGCCGTCGTTTCAAATGTGGTCAGTGTAGTCGGGTAATCACGTAGCATAGTATCCATATCGCATTCAAGCGAGTCTTTATCGTCATCGTCATGTTCTTGGAATGTACCAACCTAAACGTTTGATTTCTAAACGTTTGAGTTAATGGCTAACCCTTATGCTTACGACCTTTTTCATACTGAGGCATCTTTAGTCGGTGCCATGTAAGGCAAGGAAATGGAGAGGTGGTCAGACGCGAATCAAATGATACCTTTACCTATTAGCCCTAAGAAATAGGTAGATGCATGAGATGGCCCTCTTGTCTCTGCTCAAATTAACTTATGCCTTTTTATCAGTGCAATCATACTCAAACAAGAGCGCATGTGGCGCAGTGGTTGAAGGCGCCACTGCGACACACACGTGGAGTCGATCCCCTCACCAGTGTCCCAGAAAACCTTCCATCTCTCCGAAGTCGGTACCAGACTTGTCTGCGAGGATAGCAGCACTGGCTCGATACATCGGTAGTCCTCATTGTAAAGGCCAGATATGCATTCAGTCATCTCCAACGGTACTTAATAAAGTTGAATGCATGGCGCATCCCTCAGAAATTGATCAACGGCGAGAGCTTTATCCATTTTATCCTTAATCATATTTAAACACACATGCGTAGATGTGTGCCATAGATTGCACTGTGCACGTCGATTCGGCCAACATCCAACAATAAAGTGACTGGAAAGAACACGGGAGATGAATTCTAGTCATCTTGGATAAGTAACCACTGCGTCTACTGCGACAAACACGACATTCTACCAATGACTATTGTCAACCCCACGAAAAAAACTAGCGAGCTAGTCGTGGGTATATCTTTCCTTTAAATGGTGGAAACAAACAACCTCGTTTCTTCAAGCACGGAAGAACGTCTACTATGTTGGAGTCGTTTAAATGAATACTGAGAAGGTGGTAGTGCATCTGGGTCTCCCAAGGTTACTGAAAGCTTCATGGACTTTACTAGCATTCTGCACTTAAACAAACACGCACCTTCATCGGATTCGTCTATGGAAAACCTGATCCAAGAAGTGAAGATCTAGTGCAAAGTTCTCTAATTAAGGGAGATGAGATGAAATCTATTTCTGTAACTATAGCCATGCAATGGCTCGATAATGTGCGGAAGAAGATATAGCTAAGCAACAGTTTCGGAACTCCGTAACCGCGCTACAAATTCGAAAAGAAAACTTGATAAGTGTTTTACAATGTCGTAGTTGTCAGGTCAATTCTGCGCTTCTTTTTCGCAATAGGACTATTTGCTTCTTTATTGCATTCTGAAATATGACTCGAAATAGGTTCTGCACTACAGCTGGCGACAAAATCTGTCATGGGAAGGGCAAGGACAAAACTCCAAAGTACTTGCGAGATGCATTTTCCATACAAACATTGTGGTGATATTCTGGTGATTTATCCGTAATTATCCGATAGGGACATCAACGCTATGTTTTCAATTCTGGAGAAGTCACTAAGGCAGAGAAATGTTGTCAGAAATTCCACAAAATGCACCGAGAACTTCAAAGACTGCGACCGTTAAGGCGGTTCAATGAAATGGTTCAAAGAAAAGAAGAAATAGAAAATTATCGCATGGCTACGCCTCGCCTTATGTTTCATCAGCGGCTGTTCAGAATTCGAGTGAATTAGGTTACAAAACTGGCATCAGTTACTCCCGGAAAGGACAATAGCCGGTTCGTTCCCCACCGAAGGCACCTGCGGTTCGGAATTTCGCAAATATCTCAGCAATCTTGTGATTGTATTTCGCTTAATACCCTGCCATAAAAATCATAAAAGGTAGAAAATAAAAAGTAAACGTTGTGGACCCTTGAACTATTCAGCGTCAACAGGACAACAACTTACTGTTTCTCCGCTTAACAAGGCATGAGTATCTTGACTCGTCATTTCTTGACTTGCACCTTCAAGTAACGAGTCTCGCTCATGAGGTATATTTTCCAATGAATCTTTCACACTGTCTTCTAGAGGAGTAATGACCTGAAAAGCCGACTGTTTCTTTTTGTAGTTCAATCGTTCAAACAGCAAATAGTTTGTTGTTTAAATCCATTGGATTTGAAAGTATTTATGGAATAAGTGGGAACATAGAATGTTTGTCTTTCCTTTCCTGTTTTCAGTTTACAAAACTAGTCCTAGGAACATGGATACTTTGTTCTACAATGTATCATTTAGCAGCCATTAGAACTGGTCGTTATCCTATCTCATTTAATTTATGCATTTGACTTTTTATCTAGTTGTTGCATAAGCAGACATCACATATTCCACTGCACTTCTTTCATTCGATTCGTTTTCTCACATCCATCAAGGGGAAAAGATATTGCGTATGGATTCAGCTGCTGCTTGAGGACTTTATTTTCTGTATCAAAGTCATCTAACCGAACTAAAGCATTCCTAGTCAGCCCTTGTGCATTGCAGCGAGCTCTTCCCAGACAATCTTAGTACCAATATTCCGATTCCGGAGGGATAGCAAGCTGAGTTAGCCTAGGATGGGTTTCAACCAGCGTCCTTGAGCGCAGCATTGAACGACATCTCTACTAGTGTGCGTTTCGCTCTCCTACGCCTACAGATTAAACGACAAAACACGGAACAGAGATTTACGGTGAATAAAATTACACTTCAGAAAGATTTAAATGTGTTAACAGTCTTGGTGCTAAGTGATACCACTCACCAACATATGATTTATTTGCATATGTGATTTAAACATGCGTCATCTCTCTACTAGCCAATCGCTTCTTGGCAAATACAATTCTTGTGTAGGTTCTTTTTTTGTATGCATATGCGTGTAGTTCGCTGACCATAGATGCTTTGGTACAGAGACGTGTCGCTAGTTAAATCGCACGTCCAGACGAACCAAATCCGCCTTCCTTCGGGATCAGTGATTGATTGTCAGACTTATTTGGAAGAACACGAAGCATAAATACATTGGCTGGGCTCCGAAACTAACTGTTTAAACCAAATAATAATTCGAATGCTTCTATGATACAACGAATGTATTCGAATGAATAACCCATCACTGAGGGGATAGTCAATACAGGACGCTTTGTTTTGTATAAGATATGATTTTTGAGCCTTATCAGTTAAATTTTTGTGAATTTATGCAAGTCTTCTTTACCAGTAAAGCTCATTTGCTTTCATTTGTCATAAGACGATTTTTACTCACTTCATACTCTGCCAACGAAGATACGTCGCTGTCTCTTTGAACAACGTGTGATTCGATTGCTTGATAAGATGGTTCAAGAGAATCCGTGCTGGTTTCGAGAAGAGGTAATGTCGCTCTGATCGGTTCACGTTCAAGTGAATCTATTGGCGACGCTAACGGTGTTACCGTTTGGAGATCTTCTTCATCAATTGGTCTTGTTTTAACTTCAGTTTCCTTAAACAGTACATGCTTACCGTGAACGATCGACTATCACAATCTGTCTGAAAAACCGCAAGTGCTCAATAAAGTTATAACTAGTCTTTCCTTTCTTTTCTTTCCTGCTAAAAGCTTCATTACAGAGTAAGAGATTTTAACTACACCCTTACAACTCCTTTCAAATATTAAACGTTACAATTACTTTCTTACCACTTGACATGTATATATCTATCTCAATCTTCGTAATTTTGCCCTCTTTTTACCGACATATTCCGAGAAATTCGATTTTATAAAACGGATAAAGCTCCCGGTGTTGATCAATCCGTAAGGGATGCCCTATGCTTTCGACTTCATTAAGCACCGTTGGAGGTTGTTGAATGCATATCCGGCCTTTACAATGAGGCCTACCGATGTATCGAGCCAATGCTGCTACCCTCCCAGACAAATCTGGTACTAATTTGCCGACCCCGGAGGGATGGCGGGCTTGGTGGGCCATGGGCACGGAGATCGATTGTACGTGTGTGTTGCAGGGCGCCTCCGACCAGTGGGCCACACGCGCCCTTGAAATTTTATATAGGAACAAAAAAGAATACAGTTTGTTTACAGGATCGACTTTCTCTTAACCTCGGCATTGGAATAGGAATGTGTCGTTTTCTTGTTCAGCAATCGCGAGGTTTTTAAACAGCATACATTTACTTCCATAGAGAAGCACAATACAATACAACGCTAGCTGACGTTTCGGCAGTATCGCCTTCTTCAGAGCCTTCAATAACGCTTATTGAAGCGTTTGGCCTAGTAGATTGTATAACCCTTCCAGGCTCTGAAGAAGGCGATACTGCCGAAACGTCAGCTAGCGTTGTATTGTATTGTGCTTCTCTATGGAAGTAAATGTATGCTGTTTAAAAACCTCGCGATTGCTGAACAAGAAAACGACACAGTTTGTTTAACCAAATGTTTCCTTATGATAATGCTTACCGAGTGTTCATCTTCGTCATCATCACGTGTGCTCATATCTTCAACTTCAGATTCTTCTCGAATATCTGGTAACATTGTAACATCTTCTTGAGGAGAAATATTTGCAGCTATTTCTTGTTCAAGTTTTTCAAATTCTGTTAATGAGCTCACTGATCCTTCAGTTGATCTCAGTTTTCCAGCCACGTACAGTTCAATTTCACTTGCACTAAGGCTGCCTTCTCCTCGATTAGCCACTACCTGTTCCAAACGTTCGAATTCTTGAAGACTTGTCAATGATACACTATCACTTGACACGTGCTTATATTTTCCTATCAATGCCAACGTATCTGATGGAACACCAACGGAAGAGTTTCCACTACCATTGATGGATTCAACGTCTTCAGGCTCTTCTTCAACAGTTTCTAACTCCCCTTCTATTGGACTTTCATCCATAGCAGGACAAATCACGAATCCTTCCTCACTATCACTAACTCTGCCTTTGCTCGAGCCTTCCGAAGATGGTGAGTTTTCTGTTGACTGTGTTTCTGGTGGCTCTTCTTGCCCTTCTCCACTCTTTGCCGCTAACTCGCTAGATCGTTGTGACGAAACTTCTCTAAAATTCGTATGAATAGGATATTTATTAGTTGAAATAATACATCTACGTACCACTTACATTTAACACCTCAACTACTGTATAATTCGAAAAGTAATGGTGAAATTCGTAATCTTCTACTAAATCTACGAAATATGGATATGCGCAGGCAATGTACGGACGATATTTCGAGTATTTTATGTCTATAGTAATGTTTCAAAAAAGTAAGTTTCCGAGAACTTTCTAGCAATAGGCACTTTCCGATATGATGTAAAAAGATGGCTTGCTAACGATTGCTCGAATAGAAGTAGCTACGGAATTTTCGAATTGCAGATAAATCATTGTCAAGCAGGAAATGAACCACCAATCCTCACTTGTAAAAAAAAAGTTAGTGACGATGGTATTCGGTATAGTGTCATAGAGATTTAAAAACGGATGTTTCAATTATGACTTTTTCTTGAACTACTATGCTCTGTTGTAAAACCAACCTTATACCACCGCTCCTGATTGAAATTTTATCCAACGATTCCGAAGATTCCGAATTTGGATCACGAGCTGGTACAAACTCTTCAACATCCACAACCGTTTCTGGATCTTCTTTTTCATGATGTATCACTGTGTCAGCATGACTTTCTGATGACAGATCGGAATACTGACGAGAATATGATCTCTCGCCACGACTACTGCTCGTTGATTCCCATTCCACAGATCTCCTTTCCTTTGTTTTCACCTCATCCAGTTTTGTTGAAATGTCCTTCTCTTGAGGCCTGTCCAAAAATACAAAAAAATTGTCTTCGTCTGCTTCTTGACTTGGTGGTATGGGTGAAGAAGGACGTCCCGGATCTGCATGAGGAAGGAGAAGAACACCACTTGGGCTTGTAGGCAATACATTTTCAATTTCTTCCTCTTCTTCCTCAATCGTCACTTGCAAAGCCACATCAGGAGTCGATCTAGGGGTGTCATCGATTCCAAAATGCCGGATAACAGGCACGACGTCATCAAAATCCTGATTAGCCGTAAACTGCCGGTCCGAATCAACGGGTGATAATATAGCCAGTGGTGTGACACTTCCTTGTCTTTCCTCCACACCGCTTAGTCGGCTGGTTGCACCACTGTTAGCTGTTGTATAGTCGGACTCCTGCGAAGTCCATTCCTGTGCCGAATCATATGTACCTTGTGATGTCACACAACTTTCGTATTGGTCATCTTTTGATTGTTCTGTAGCAGTGTGGTAAACGTTGGATTCAGAAGTTGACGTGAGAGTTTTAGCGTCTTCGTGTGGTTCAAGGGCAGCTTTTAACGCATCATCTGCAAGGTGAAAGGCCGCTTTTTCAATCTCATGATCGTCATCACTACGTTTTTCTTTGTACTGTCCTTCGTGAATAACATCCAGCTGGCCCCCCTCACTAACTGAGTATAGTTCTCCACGACTTTCTTTAGCAAGAATATCCAGTTTTTCTTGTAAATCAGACTGGTAGTCAACTTCATGTTCCATAACCACATCGTTAAATGAATCCTGTTTCATACTTTCGCTTACAGAATTTGAGCATTGACGACTCGCGTTACTTTCAGCTCCGAAAATAAGCTCTTGTGTGAGTTGGCGGGAGAACTCTTCAAGAACTTCACCTTTGTTGTCATAAACTTTCCAATCATCGCCAGCAATCGACTGTTGCTCATCGGGAAACGATGATGGCGCTTGTGCTGATTGCTTTTCAGGCGACTCCAACTCGTCCACACCTCTAAACCTCAATTTGACAACATTTTCGAGAGCTCCTTCTAGCAAATGAACAGATGTCGTCTGTTTCGAAATATGGAGATCTTGCGAACAATCATCCTTTTCGAATTCAAAAACTTTTTGTTCAGGGGATAGTGACAGCTGTTTTCTTCCGTGATCTACAATATAGTCATTCGATTCCTTAAGAAGAATTCCTCCATACTTTTCCAACGCAGTGTAAGACGAGTGCTTTCCTTGAACATCTTCAATAACCGACAACGTCGCAGCAATGTCGGTATGACCTTCGATAGGACCCTCCTGTTCACCCGGATATTCCTCATTCTTTATTGGAAAAGACAGTAAATGTCTATCGAATTCGATATCATAATCCTTTGATTCTATTATGTGCACGACTTCATCTACTACGGTGTAGACCGAGTCTTCTTCATCAGCAGCCACTTTACGATCCTCTATCGTTGGTGCAGTTCTGACATGATGGTCGGTAAGACTCTCATCGTCACGCATATGTTGCTCAGTCTTCGTTGGAGATGATAGTACGCGTCTTTCAAATTCGACATCATAATATTTCGATTCTACAATGAGTATATCATCGTCTGCAGCGACGTGGAACAAGCCCTTCTCATGAACAGCTAGTTCGTGATCCGATGTCGACGACGTAATATTGAAATGATGATCGATAGGATGCTCACGATCACGCATGCGTTCCTCAGTGATCGTTGAAGATGACAGAGAATGCCTTTCGGAATCGAAACCGTACTCCTTTGATTCAATCAAGTGCATATCTTTTTCTGCTCCTGCGGAGGTGTACACAGATAATTCCTCATAATCAGCTATTTCGTGATCCGATGTCGTCGGTATAACTTTATCAAAATGGTCGATAAAACCGTAACCATCACGCATATGTTGCTCACTTTTCGTTGGAGATGATATTGAATGCTTTTCAACTTCAACATCATAACTCTGTGATTGTATGATCTGCAAGTCTAAATCAGCTCCCAATTCGGTGCAACCTAAGTGCTCTCTAGGGGCAGCGAACATTTCGCCCGATTTTGCCGGTCCTGTTTTGATGTCATCTCCCACAAAACCCTCAGCAAACTCGACCACTTCGAGGATTTCAGTGCTCCTCGGGTATTTTTCGCAGTGAACATAGCGAACAGGACCCTCCACCAGCATAGGCAATTCTGTTTCAGGTTTTTCGACGTATTCCATATGTTCTGGCTTTTCTTCGTAAAGCGGTACAGCCGTTACAGCTTCAGTGAATCTCGGATATCGTTCTGGTGAAACCTCCACAACTGGGCTTTCAGCAACCATAGGTGATTCTGCCTCATATCTCCTCTCCTCATATTCAATCTTTTCTGGCTTTTCTTCGAAAAGCGGAGTGGAGGTTACAGCTTCTGTGATTGTTGGATATCCTTC